ATTTCCACTACACAGCAAAGCCAGCAAAGTCAGCAAACCCAGGTACTGTTTGCAGGAGCCAACATCGGTGTCATTAATGTTCAGTTGGTGGTTCTCCCTTGTTCAAGAGAATCCAAGAGGTCGACAAATAATAGCTTCAAACGACGCCAACATTTTCTTGAATCTTCAGATGAAGAAGATTTGTGAACAATTTCATTGAAACATGAAGCAAACTTTTGTCACTCGCTAAGTTTTTGATGGTTTTGACATATTTTTGACAGCTTTATGTCAACTTTCTGTCGGCTTTTTAGCATGAATTGTAATATTAGACTTACATTGAAAAAAAATATTAGAAAATGTGTCGTGTTTTTCGATGAATTGTGAGTTTCTTGTTCGACGCGAAGAAATAAATGACACTGAGATTTTATAATGGAATCATTTCTGTAGTTTTTCCGCGCACGGCCTTCTGATGTTATGTACTCGCGTCCTATTTAGGTTCAACCGTTAAGTGGTCATATGATAAAATGCTTATTGACTGAGTAAGGTCGGGCCGGACCGGAAACTATTTGTCTCTCGGTCAGGACGCACGTCCTGACTTCGAGCCAAATACTTTCCCGTCCGGCCCTCCCACTCAGTCAATAAGTACATAGCATGTATCATCCTCTAGCGCACACATGTGTTTTTCAAAAATTTGGTCTGACTGAATTACGGAGCTCTACAATTGCTTTCTCCCACCTTCTCCTTTAGCCTTTAGTAGCCTTTGCCTTCGTTTTGGTTGTCTTCACCGTTGCTGGGCAAAATCTTTATTTGTAAAGTAAGACAATATAAGTCCTTTAATAAAATTTTCTAATGAGGTGGTTATGGACCTTTGCTCATGGCTATACAATATTTCAATTTACATAAATAATTAAAGGGGCTATATAGTAGTGTGACGTCACGTTACCATGACACCGAAATTCTCAGTTCTAAACAAACCTCAGAATAACAAAGCGCCTCGCTTCGAACATCTTCTTCCGAAAGGTCACGACCCTGTAATTATCTCACAAAAGGCGTATTTCTCACTAACAACACACAAAGAATCACGCCGTGTTTGAAAATACGTTTGCATCCATAAAAAAGGGTTTCAAACGACCAAAATGGTCTATTGCTTTGCTCCAACCTGCAGCCACCCGTCGGAGGGCCAAACATGCAAGTTTTTCGCATTTCCAAGCGCAGAAAAACAGAAAGACGAGTACAGGCGATGGAACCGGCTACTAAGATTAGAAATCATCTTTGCAATTGCCTTCTCCATACGAATCAGATGTAAAATGTGACGGTTTGTTGACCGCGCTTGTCTACGACTCGATTCCTGCAATTGGCAGATGAACGTACGCCGATCGTGTTTAACCGCTTCTTATTTCTCAGTTTTCTATGACTGCTACGACTTTGTACTTAAGCTTATATGTCTGTGAATTCTTATACAATGTACTTTATCGTGTTTTCCTAATATATATATTTTTTGTCCGACAGAAGGCAAGATAGGGAGCCCAGTGAGCATTCAAGGGCTTGCAGTTGTCATTTCCGAGATGGCAAGAAAATCAATGGCCGGAGATCTATGCTAGAAATCAGGATAGATTGTTCCCGCAACTAGGAGATGCGCCCCAAAGGACAAAAAGGAAAAGCAGTGAACCAGGGAAGCAGTCATTGCAGGAAGTTATAGAAAATGCAAGAAGGAAAGAGCAGCCATCCCAAGTGGAAGGTCATGAAATAAATCCGGGAACAACACATGAGATTTTCCAGGAAGCCGAACTGGAGCTAGCTAAGAGGGAGCTCAAGGAACTCGAAGCCAAAGCAAAGTACGTACAAAACAAAATGCTACAGCGTAGCAGAACTTAGTGATGATGTGCATGGTGTTAGAATGGAGACAGGCCTTGCAACAAAAGAGGTATTTAATATTGTTGTAAAACATCCACTTAGGTTCAAAGATGACATAAATTATTTTTCTGGCTGGAAAGTGGAGTCAATTTATTTTGAAGTTCAGATTTTTATCACTTTAATGAAAATTAGACAGAACTATACAATTCTTCACCTGCCTCAATTGTTTCACGGTAGTGTGTCTACTATTATTGGAATCACAGCCTTGCCCAAAGAATGTTTTTGAGGAAAAACTGATGGTAGCAGTGGGCTAGGCAGAGGTTTCATTAAAGGACTGGGTACTGGGCTGCGAGGACGATTTTGACCTCCTGGTTTGACAATCTAGAGGAAAGGTAATCTTAGAATTTAGAAGTTCAATTCAAAAAGTTTTTCCTGCCTGTGAAAACCAGTTGCCTTTCTGCTGAAAATGTTAATAAAACCCCCAGTGGCAACTACTTGGGGAGACATTATTAAAATAAAATTGTGTTAAAAGTGAGAAGTTAGCTGCCCAAGTTTCATCCCTTTCTATTTTTAAAACAGCTACATGCTCTGTGGTCCACACAACAAAATAACAGAATTTTTGTCGATAAAAATACATTTCTCCTTGGACCTGGTGCCAGTAAACATGCTCCTTCTTCAATACATACTCTCCACTGTCAGATTTATCAAGGCAAAATGTTGCTGAAGATTGTGCGGCCTCTTCTATGGTTAGGTCTTTTTCAATGTATGGGCACTTGGCCTCAAGAACAGTTTCATGGTCAACGATCCTATCAGGGGAAGCACCAAGAATACCAGAGGAATGAAACCAGATTCCAGTTCCCTCAACCGCTTTCCCTGTCTTCAAGGTGAAGGCCTTAATAGCTTCTTGTTCATTGTGAACCCCCCATTGTACTGCTTTCNGACACCACTTTGCATTTGGTTTATAATATCTACACCTGAGAGGGGGCTACGATTGCGCTGGTAACGGCATCAGGCACGCTAATAGCAGATATACAGTACATCTAGCCATATTCGTAAACTCCTTTAGACTGTTCCTCGTTAACAAGAGCCATGTGAAACACTAATAATATACAGCTAACTAAGATCGAGTGACACGCATTTATGTGAAGAGCGTAGGGTCAATGCAAGCAAATTCAGTTCTTTGTCTAGAATATCAAATATATACACGTACGTAAAAGAATGAATTGTAGAATAGACGAAGAAAAGAGTCGTGTAGTTAATGTGGACGAAAATTGTTTACATAGTCATGTTCTAGTTCAAGTCAGATTGAAATGTGTGCAGAAACTGTTGTTGCGACAGGTAGTTCCGAAGGAAATATATTTCTAGATTTTATCAGAGTTTTGAAAATGTTCAGTTTTCCCAAACTGAGGGATTATTTGCTTCAGTCAGCACTTTGTTTTGTACCATCACCCAGTGAAATAAAACAACTATTTACACATTAAATAGTTTTCGGTAAGAAACATTTACCACTAGGACTATCAGCGAGGAGCCTGAGATGGGTTAACCCTCGAACGTACAAGCTAGCTCGTACCCCCACCGTGGTACAAGGTATCGATGGACACCCCTCTCGGTTTTCGTTCTGTTAAGGCAGAGCGAAATAAATTTACATTTATTAGATAACCCTGAGCTTTCTCTACAAGATGGTATTATTTTTGTTGGATATGACGTCATTTGAACCGCCATCTTGGATTTTTCTACTTTCTTAAAAAGTCAAGAAATGACGGAAATTAACACAAAATGAAGCCACAATGTACAGATTCATGAATTTCTGCAATCTGATGAAGAAAACTATATATATATAGAAAACTACAGAATAATCTCAAAAAATTTGATTTTTAGCCAGAACCTACATGAAATTTGATGGTTGCCATGGGAACTTCAAATATGATGGACCCGCAAATGACATATCAACATTTCCGCAGACAATGAAGGAACAGCTACTGAAAGGTTCAGCCCCTTAGAGTACATCATTTTTTTTTAAACTTTGAAAAAACCTTACGGGGAGGATAGCATCTACCCCCNGTTAAATCGTATCTTGCAGACAGACGGCAATGCATGTGTATAAATGGAGAAGTGTCAGAGACACGCCCCCATTTACATGGGTTTGCAATAATGGAGTATCTTAGGTCCACTTTTATTCAATGTATACATTAACAGCTAGCTTGTCAACTGCTGTAACGAAGAGTGAACTGTAATTGTATGCAGATGATGCTGTTCTCGTGGTTGCTGCATTGACATTCCAGGAGCTTACTGATGCCTTTCGACATTACTTCAACCTAATCTACAACTGGTACACCAGCAACAAATTAACAGTTAATGTAAAGAAGACTAAATTGATGCTGTCAGGAGGCAAAACAACGTTGTCGTCATTTAATGACTCCACGTTTTCTACTGATAACGACCAAGTGAATCGTGTTTCATTTTTTAAGTACCTAGGAGTAGTGCTGGATGAGAAATGGAAATGGAAGATGCATGTCAATAGGCTATTACAAAAACTGGGGCATCGCATTTCAGTATTCAACCTAATCTATCATACGTGCGACGAGAAAAGTTTCACAGCGTACTTTAATGGCCTTGTCCTACCACACCTAGATCATGTAGATATCGTCTGGGGATATCAGCCTGGTCTTACAACACAGATGAAGCAATTTTAACCATTCCAAAGTCGCATTGCAAAGAAGATTGTAAAAGGAAAAGTAGCATCAATTGAGGCCCTAACATCGTTGCTGTGGGTCCCATTGCACGCGAGGCGCTTTGGTCATAGGTGTTGTATTGGGTAAGACGCAACGAAAGGAAAGACCCCCCACATTTCGAGCGCTACCATGAGCCAACAACACGGTTACAATACCTGAAATGGTTGCATG